ACGACACGCTAATAACACCGACAGGTGCCAGTGCAGTGCCGGATTCTTCACTGAAGCTATTTCTGCATGTGCTTGTTTCTCGTGAAAATATCCCTGCATGAATCACGAGTCTAATTTTTTATATGTACCTAATGACCAATTTTTGTAAAATGAACAATTCACTGAGAAGTGTTGAGTTGCTCATTCCCCAAAAAGGTATTCCATAACGTAGACGAGAATCTAAAAGAGCGTAATATGCCATTTTGACAGTAGCTGGTCCCAGTTCATCCGAAACTACTCTTACTACATAGCAACCAGAAGAGATCTTGCTTTTGAGTTGTTTGAAATGGTCATCAAATTCAAGATTTTTGTTTATGAGCACACCTAGGAATTTGGTGCAATCTTTATTTCCTGTTACATATTTGCCAAATACTACAGGTTCATTAATTGGGCAGCTGAAGGATAATGAGTGGGTTTTTTTGTGTTGAAACATAATTTGTTTCACAATGTTCCTGTCTGTAGATCATGTTATTGCCCGGTCTTCTTGCTTTTCCATTGTATAATAGTATCATCTGCAGACAGATGTGGTGATTTACTTTGGTGAGGTCGTTGACATATAGGAAAAGAATGGGGCCGAGCACAGATCCTTGGGGAACTCCTGATGAGATTTTTCTCCTATTCGAAAATTCCGCTGTTTTAACCATCTGATATCGTCCTGAGGGATAAGGATCGAACCTTGTGTGAGTCACACCTCGGCATCCGTATATTTGAAGTTTTCTTAGCAGTATCTTGTAATCAACATAGTCGAATGCCTTCGTTAGATCAGAAAACACTGCTGCTGTTGTCTCTCCAGCATTAATCTCAGAATAGACTTCATGGAAGAATGAGAAAATTGCCATAATAGATTTTTTTTAATGTGAAAAACGAACTAATTTTCACTAATTATACTATGTAAGTTCGAAAACCCTAATATAACCTTTCCGATAGATGAAATTATAAGAATCATTTATAGAATAAAAACAAGTAAATGTATGAAAATGGAAATTATTTGGACACAAAGATATCGTCGTGTCTGGCTGTACTGTTGAACATAGGTCTGTGGTGGCTACTGCTGGAGCTACTACCGGAATCCCGGATCTCGAGAATCAGTGGAGTCCATTTGGATAAGTGTGAAACAGAAGCCTTGAGATTTCGTGATGGTTTCTAGATTTCGAGCAGAAATTGCAAGATTTAGTGCATTGAACCCTAGGGTGAGATCCTGTATTTTGTTATATTTTCTGTTGAAGAAACCATTGTGAAGAACTGAAAAATTCAGAACATTGACATTCTGATTTCTTTATACTGTGGCAATATATCGTGAGTATTTGGTATTTTTGTTAATTCAACAATTTCAAGGTTAGGGTTGCAAAACCTCATTAAACCTCCCAAGTGAATCATATTCCTTGTTTCATTGGTACTCTTGAAATGTTTATCTTTCCAGTTTCCAGTGACAAGTGTTGAAAGGGGGTACAGTTTTTCTAGAAACTTCTGTAGATGGTGATTCTTTTAATCACTTATAATTGAATGTCTATAAAAAATAATTAACCTCCGCGAATCAAAAGCTACTCATTTCAACTGAGCACTGGTACTGTTTTCTTACTCCAGATCTGGAAACGAGTCGGGAAACGGCTCACTATAATTCCCCAAATCAAACGTTTTCTGCGCTACAGACCGGTTTGATATCGCCTCTAATAAAGGGGTGCTATACGAGTGTAAGCAGTTTGAAACGTTTCAACTATTATTATACCAGGTCACAAGCGAATGAATTGAATTAACCTATTTGAGGTTTTGGAAAGCTGTGAAACGCACGTCCAGCTCATTGGGGTCACCCAGATTGATTAAATCTTCTATATGCACTACACAAGTTTATCACCATTTATAAAAAGAGCTGTTAGTCGAGGAAAACAAACGTGTATGTATTGCTAATAAAAAATGAAGAAGAATCAGAAGTTATGCCTTAAATTACATGGTACACTCACTTTTACGCATTGGCGTACATTTCCCAGGAAGTTTAGGGTCTCTTTCTACAAAAATTATATTATTTGCTGATATAAAATCACATGGATTTGTACTCACTTTTTGTATGTCTAGAAACCCTTTAAGAGATATGTGAATGATTTTCTCTGAAAAATACGACTTTCAACATTTTCTTCCTCGATAACTATTTGAGAATATTTCAAGGGAAAAATTATATTGGGGATCAATAGGGAGAAATGAAAGTTGATGGTATGAAGAATTAATTTATTGAAAAAATGGTCAATTTTTTCTTGATTTCTTAAATTTGTAGTCTTTCCTTTATAATAATGAAAATCGAAATTTTATATTGAAAACAAAAAATAAAAAATATCTTTCAACATGAATGATACAAATTTTGAATTTTTTGGAACATATGCATTACACTGATGAGGTCAAGTCAGAAACGCGTAAATGCGGATAGCCTTTTTTAGTTTTATGTCCGCGAGTTCTTTCTTTTTGATAGAGATCAAACACACCCGTAAATATCTTTCTCTCTCTCTCTTTCCAAGTGTTCATTCGTTATGTAACTTCCAAAAGATAACGTTTCGCCATCATCTGCAGTAGCAAGTCTTGATAATGCCATCAGAAATGATGGCGAAACGTCGACTTTTGAAAAATACACAAGGTATGAAAACCCAGAAAACCAACTTCACACATCCAACCATTCCTGAAAATCTATACACTTTCAATCAGGTCAGGGCAGGACTTTAGTTATTGGGACCGCTTCCACAATGGGGTGTGGCATATCAACCGAAAGGGGGTGATGAGGGAAAAATAATGTAGGGGTGCTAGGGCGAGGGAATGGAAACAATAATAATGATGTGAAATATTTACATATACTTCAGTTTGAATTGACTTTTGAAACATTCAATTAGCGCTAAGAATGGATACAACTTATTGCGGTTGACTTCTCGACGCTAGAGGTACTCACACATGTGCATAGCCAGATCATCACTATCGTAACCATGTTCTTCCAAGTCCTGTTTAAGCCATTCCCAACTGTCTTTGATGGTCACGGTTTGAGCACTGGTCTGTTGATTGACGAACCGTCCTTTCCTTTTTTTTACTGTGATCTACTATCATATGCATGTATCCTTAGGTTAGGTTAGGGTAGGGTTAGGTTATGTTAGGTCAGGTTAGGTCAGGTTAGGGTTGTGTAAGGTTAGGATTGGGTTAGTTTAGGTTAGGTTAAGTTGAAACATTGAATTCCATATTTTCAATATTTTTTTTAAATATTTATTTACCCGTTCTAAAACTCCTACTATTGACAAAAACATAACAATCTGCACTGACAGCAGACACGTCCTATTAGCTTTGAACAGAACGTGTTACGTCAGGGCTAGTACTAGAGTGCCACCAAGATTTAGCCAAAGCCTCGGTAGATAATAACATTATCCTGAGGTGGGTTGAAGGGCACGATAGGAGTGAAGGTAATCGCATTGCCGACTCTTTAGCCAAGGAAGCGGCTGGAAGCGGAAAGAATTTTAGGACCCAGTGGCACCTATGGCCTGATGACTTCGACAATTGAGCAACTAGCCAAATGTTAAACCCATGCTCAATCCCTAAAAAGATGGGATGGAATCAAAGGATGAAATTTTGCCAGAATTACCCTCGGTGACCCTGGGAAGCTGGCGCCGAAGAAATATCTGGCGATGACCTGGAGAAATCTACGCTTAACATCCGACTGGTCACTGTCAATAATATGGGGCTAGTGGACACACCTCTATGCAGGATGTGTGAACAGAAAGATGAGACTGTCAGGCATGTCCTATGCGAGTGCCCGGAGTTATCTTCAATAAGAGAGTGTGTGTTCAGCGAGTCTTGGCCTACACCAGCCGATATAAAGGAGATGTATCCCAGTGACCTATCTACCTGCCTGGAAACGACAGGATGGACGATGACCTAGGAGGACAACTCCTCGGGAGGATGTACAATGGGTCACATGTGGCCAAAGTGCTGTGGACTTATACTCATCCTTCCTACTCTACAGATACATAACTCCTACCATTCTATTCTTTTCATCACCCCCTTTCGATTGATATGTCGCACTCCTTTGTGAGCGTGGTCTCAATAACTGAAGTGAATCCCAGTTCAGAAGAGAGCTAAGATAGGTTCAAATCATTTTTTCAGCCAAATGCAGTGATCAGAAGACAAGTTTCTATGATGAAAACTGCTAGAAATGTCAATATCATGTTTCCTTTCTTTGAATATATGCTTGCATGAGTCAGGGTTTTCATTTCAAAATTCACCATAGTGAGTTTCATCTTTCTATATATTGTATCTGTCATGTCTGTCTGACTTTCAGGTCGTGATTTATCACTTATTTTCACGGGTTGTCCCGAATGATTTCTGTAAATTCAAATGGGCGTGTTAGGGATCAAAAGTTGAAATGTAGAACCTCGTTAGACCTTAGCTCGCACAAGTTTCGACTTCTGAGGGTTGTCGTTCGTAGGGGTGCGACAGCTGGTTAACAGATAAAAATATTTTAAACATATTAACAGCTATATACCTACTATTGCACTTTTCCTCACATTGATGAAAAGTGAAGTCAAACAACAGAAGGAAATTGCCGCTCCATTTCTGATATTCTTTCAAAGACAAAGAATGAAAGAATGAAAAAATCAATAAGAGTAACCTTGACAAAACTAACCACAATGGCGACGATGAAAATTTGCATTTTATATCGATTTTGTCCGGCTTATAAGTCACGAATGGCAAAAATGACCGTCATAGTTTCATTAACAGGTTTGTTATCACTATTTGTTTTCATTAGAAAACTAGAGTCAGTAGGAGAATGAAACTTGGAATATGATTTAATAGAAACTGATTGAAATTTTTTTCCAAGACTGATGAGTCTTGGACTCAACAATGAATCAACAACAATGCATCGTATAGTAAAGTCGTAGTGTTACGATATTGGGTGATTGGGTCAGATTCAACAGCTTCATAGAAATCTTTCTTTCCAGTGTGCGGAGAGACAGCTGCTCTACGAGCTGTTTTAGCAGCCGGAGCACCGGTTTCCACACCAGATGTTCATGGGGGTTATCCACTCCATTATGCGGCTCAAATGTGTGGTGGGGTAAGTGGTATGATCATAAAAAGAAATCCAAAAATAGACTTTCAACTGTGTTTTTCATTTTGAATTTTTTGGAAAATTCAATTCTACGATATGATAATGATTTGAGTGCTAGATCCTCTATATACTCCTCTGTGCACCAGTTGGTCAGTGGATTTTCCACTGGCAAAATTGTCCTGAGAGTATATAAAAGGGAAAAAATTCTTGGCAGACAAAAAAAAATATTGACCAACCCGAAAATAGCATTGCACACCTCGTGGCAGGTGAAAAATTTGTACATCTTTTCGCAGGATCGCGATTCCAGTTTGGGCCTCCAAGTTCTCCAGACTCTTCTTTCCCACGGCGACATCGTAGTATCTGTTGCTGACGGTGACAAGAGGCAACCGCTACTCTGGGCCGCCAGTGCCGGTTCCGCTAGAGCTGTACTTGCTCTTGTTAGGGCTGGGGCGAATGTAGAAGCCGCTGATAAAGATGGACTCACCGCCTTGCACTGCGCTGCTTCCAGAGGACATACTGACTGCATGGACACGCTGTTGACTTTGTGTGGTGCCTCTATTGATGTCATTGATAGCAACGGATGCACTGCCCTTCATTACGCGGTAACATTAGGTGAGGTTAATATTTTCATCCAATTGGTGTATTTAGTCATACAATAAGAAGAAGTGGTTTGAATTTCCAGTTTTTGATGAGATTCACAAAAAAAAATCTCGTGAAAATCGATTGTTGTTTCGAAAGAGAATGGTTTTTGCATATTCTCACTACTGCCAATCCAGATCTCTGGTGAACATGAATTGAAATCCTTGAATCTTCTGGGGAGAGTGTGTGATATCTCGTGCAAGAGCCACACTCTATAATTTCGACATCATTCGAACATAGATGTAGGGCTTGGATTGCGACTTCAAATAACTATGTTGTTTTGATGAGGATTTTTTGATTTTTTCGATGATAGTGGGAGTCCTCTTAAATGACACCTCTGTATATGCAAGGCTCTGCCGAGAAGAACTTCTTTCTACTAGCTACCCATATGACCCTTCATGGACCTTGAAATATCCAAAGAATCCGATTCTGAGTCTACAGAGGGAATGGTTCTGACTGAATGACCCTAACTATTTTCTCTGTAACATCTGACCAAGAGCAAGAACTTTTTGGTCCTTCAACTCTTGATCCTATTTACAAACTCGAGAGGCTGAGTGGTGTAGCCAGGAGGCGCTTCTTCAAAATTTTTGAAGCAGAAATATACTTTGCACTAGAAGAAAAAATTAACATTCTTTGAGCAAGTCAGCAAACGCTGTGGTAGCGATGCCCTTTTAGTGAAAGGTTGCTGCAGTCAAGAGAGAGAGAGAGAGAGATTCTTGCACCTTCAACATTCTATAACCTCAGTATCAATGAACCTACCAGGATATCTTCAGTATGTCTGCCGTGGAGGTTTCACAAAATAGTCGGTCTGAATGGTTACAGGTACCCTGAAAAAATTAGGAGACTGGTTTGACTCCTGGTTGGTGGATATAGTTAGTACTCTGCAGTCATGGAGTCTTCTTGAAATGAGTCATAGGAAACCTATTTCTTAAGCCAAATATTTGTGTTGCTTACTTATCTGAAGAAAGTGGTCGCATATCACCAGTCACGTTCTTACTAAATTGAGAAAAAGGTACTATATGGTTTGTCAACCTAGGACTAGATCCATTATTTCTGTCTCGCTATGTAGCATATTCAGATTTTGTCATAGCACAATTCTGGTCTACTGACCTGAAAGATCCCTCACCAAGTGATTTTTTTTAACCACCGGCACAACTTTCATCGGTTTCAATATCACCAAGTTGGCCCACCGTTAATTATCAGCTTGTTACCCCTAATGGAACAGTTTTTGTCATTTTGTTGTCGATGGGTGTGTAGATGCCTCTTCAAAACTTTCAAGTCTTCCCTCTGTTGGGTAGTGAAATCGTGGGCAATTGGAATTTCTGTTCCTTTAAATTTTTTACAATTGGCCAGTAAATGCTTTTTGCTATAACTTGATAGAAACTCAATCATCACCGGACAATTTTTCTGGTATCCCAAGCAGTGAATATTTTTTATTTGACCTATTGATGAATCAACACCCAACAGAGATTTCAATTTTTCTTGGAGAAACTCAAAAGTAATCTCGTGGCGTTCCTTATCAAGTCCGAAAATAATGATGTTATTCGAATTTATTTGACGTTCTAACTTCTCGACTTTCTCCTTCAAAAAGCTGTTTTCCAACTCTAGTTGTCTAATCCGCTCGTAGGATTCTTCTATCCTCAATTGTATTCTTGCCTCGCTCGCATCTATCGCAATTTTTAATTCAGTCCTATTCAGTTGTATCCCACCAATTATATACTTCAGTTCGGATGTAGAAACACTCATATTTCAATGTTGATGAGTGTATGGACAGCTTTAGTTCAGTGAATGATATGATAATGTTTTTATTAGCCCTTTTTTTCGAATCTAGTTTGGATATGAAATGATTGTTTTTGATTCAACTGAAGGAATTCGCCTTCCTTTAGATAGAGATATAAGTTACTCACAGGCATATATCGTTTTGACAAATTTTATGTCACAAATTCCCATGATAATCAGCAAACTCTACAGAGCGACAATTCCAGGTACTTACTGGTAAAGGCATACACACACAAACTTTGAGGGCAGGCGCCCCAGTTGGAATTATCTTTTCATCTCTATTTCTCAATGCCCTTGAATTTCTGGTGGGAGAATTTATATTCAGTATCAGAATTGCACCCGTGCGGTGCACGGCAGTTCTGGACTTTCATTTATTCGGAAAATTGCATATTTTCATCCGAATTATCCTGAATCAGTTCCTGTACCTATTTAATTCTACTATTTTTTGATGGAAGTCACAAAAAACTGAAAAGCTAGTTTGATACTTTTGGTGAGACCACACTTTATAGATGAATCTTCAGTTTATCCCCGTTGTGAAAAATGTTCTTCAAATTACCACAATAATTTCATATTGCTCATTTTTCGATGAGTCTAGTAAATTACTGATCATTGATTACAGATCAACAATGAATGTTTTTGAGCAGAATAATCATCAGTTGAATTGAATGGAGTATGTTTTCTTGAAGAAATTGGTTTTTGGTATTCTACTTCTTCATCTTTGATTCCGGAAGAATAAACCCTTTGAAAATATGTGTAGTTGATATTATCTTTTGAATTTCGAGCACTTTCTGTTTCAATATGAACAAAAATCAAAGCGAATACTTTGATATAATTTGCAGGTCATGCCGATGCAACTGCCTTACTTCTAGCGCATGGAGCTGACCCCAACAGACAAGATCGCAAAGGAAGAAGTCCTGCCCATTGTGGATGTGCCAAAGGTCAATTCGAAACCGTTAAACTGATAGGTAAAATATATTTCCAGCAACAATAATCATTCAATAAAACCGTTAAATCAAATTTCGAATTCGCTTGAATTCAAAAACAAAACCTCAACCGGAAACTAGCTCACTGTCGGAAATCACACAGAAAGCCATTCTTAGAACTGAAGCTGTTTACGGGCTTCCGAAAATACACAAACCCAACATGCCACTAAGACACATAGTCAGTACCCCGGGCTCTCCAACCTACCACTTGGCGAGACATCTGGCCTCGCTCCTACAACCCCATGTGGAAAAAACCAACTCCCACGTCAAGGACTCGACAGACTTCGTTGGTAAAATTAGGGGCTTAACGCTGGAGCCGACGGATATTCTGGTCAGCTTCGGGGTGGTGTCTTTGTTTACCAATGTCCCACTGGAAGACTCTCTGAGAGGGTCAGCCCACGTGTTCCCGAATGACGTCGTCGAACTCTTTAGATTATGTCTCACAGGAAGTTTCTTTCAATGGGGGGGAAAACTCCAAGAACAAACAAAAGGCCGTGCCAAGGGGAAGCCAACTAACCCAACGAAAACAAAATAATTCAAGGAAACGGTTGAAAGGAAAGCCAAAAAAAACTTTGAAATGAAACAAAACTTGTGGCTACGTTACGTGAGACGCCCTAAACCGTTTCTAAACCACTTGAACGCCCAACACCGGAGTATAGAATTCACCATGGAGACTGAGCAAGACTAACTGATAGCTTTGCTAGTGTATCGAAAACACACACATACAAATATATACTTGCACGCAGTATCGAACCACCATCCTAGCCAAAAGAGAGGAGTCATCTTAACTCTAACGGAACGGGCTCGGAGTATATGTGAACCAGAACATCTGGAGAGGGAATACCTTGAAATGACCTTGATATTAAATGGATACAGTGCCTCCGAGACCAGAAAAGCCATGGAACCGAAGGGCACCACGGTTCAGACAATGAAGCAAAAAATTTTAATAAACGTAACTAATAACTAATTATTGAAATGTTTTGATTCAGTGCAACAATTAATTCTAACTCATATTCTAGTAGCCTCTACTAATCCACCACGTATTTCGATACATGTGTCGTAGCGCTTACGAATGTTTCTGATTACGTTCCTTAGTTCTTGAGGGCTAA